GAGGAGGGGAGGGAGGGGGAACTGAGATTGACATGTAAAAGAAGCTTGTTTCTAATTTAAATTGAAAAAAGAAAAAAAATCCCCTGAAAAAGAAAAAAACAAAAACAAAAAACACTTGAAAAACCTCCTGTAATCTGGCTTTGGTGGCACATGCCTTTAACCCCAGCACTGGGGAAGCAGAGGCAGGCATTTCTCTATGAGTTCAAGGCCAGCCTGGTCTGCATAGCAGTGTCTAGGCAAGCCAAAGTTATGTAGTGAGATCTTGTCTCAAAACAAACAAAAAACCTTCATATAATTAACTAAAGTTTAGCAATGTCAAAGAGTAAAAGCACAATATACAAAGTTGATCATACAACTATAACCTGGCAACAAACTAATGAAATTTAATTTTTTAAAGCTATAGCATTTAAAATAACACCCAAATAAAAATTAAGTAGATATTTCTGAAGTCTACACATGTTTAAGTGGGCCTCTAAAATACAGGAAAGGTTCAAGAGATACCAGAAAAAAAAGCTAATATAATGAAAACTATAAACTACAGATCCAAGAGGCTCAGTGAATCCCAACCATAAATAACAGGAGGATTACATTGAAGTATCCAAATTGCTTCATATCCAAATAGATGCTCATCATCTGTGACAAGTAGAATAACTGTAAGACCCAAATGCTACAGTATTTGATACAACAAAATGCAACAATAAAAGACAGCAACTGACTCCTCATCTGAGCAAATATGAGTGGAAAGATCCAGAAGCAGCCAAGTTAAAGCTCTTAAAGAAAAGATAATTGAACTTAGACTTCTACATACTGTAAGAATACCTTCCAAAGTCTTTTTTTAATTTTTGAAATGAGGTGCTGGAGAGGTAAGTTAGTACTTAAAAAACCTTGCTGATCTTTCAGAGGACCAGAGTTCAGTTAGCTCCCAGTACCCATGTCAGGGAATGCATAACCACCTATAATCACAGTTCCAGGGGATCCGATGTCCTCTTCTGGCCTCTGTTGGCTGGCACACTCATGTGCACGGATATACACACCCACACACACACACAAACCACACAACACACCACCACCACCCTTTAAAATTAAATAAATAAACAATAGTTGATAATTTAAACAACAATAATGATAGTACATTGTGAAATTTATGAGCCGTGTACACAAAAGCCAACATGGAAGAAACCATCCATGAGGTGGTATAGAAATACTGGCAAACAGTACTGGCTATCCACCTGCTGTTTTTAGGTTTCAAGTCACCTGGAGGGTTGAACCATTTCTCCCAAAAGGCTTGAATACCATCTCTTCAAAAGTAACCTCCTTAGGTACTCTCCCGATACACCAGGGTCCTTCTAGGGTCCTTCTGGTGCACTTTTCTGACAGGTGTAGCATCATGTTCACTCTAAAAAGTACTCCAAAGACTCAATATCTTCAGGCCCCCCACAAACTCCCTTTCCCAACCTGTTTCTGCTCCCCAGAGAGGGCGAGGACTTCCATGGGGGAATCTTCAAAGTCTATCATATCATTTGGAGCAGGGCCTAGACCCTTCCTTATGTGTCTAGGCTGAGAAAATATCCCTGTATGTGGAGAGAGCTCCCAAAGTCCATTTGTGTACTGGGGATAAATACTGATCTGCTACCAGTGGCCCCATAGATTGTCCAGGTCTTCTCAGTTTGCTTGTCACCTCTATAGTTACTCTAGTGTTACAGTTAGTACTTTGTCAAATTCAAGTTGAAAATTAAATCAAACTAAGAAATGATCATACAAATATACATGGTCTAGAAACACACACGCGCACGACATGCAAAGGATTCACTTCTACATAACTCTTTGGGATGGAAGTGGAGTCTAGATGGCTTGGTTGGCAGAATAAGGCTCAAATGAAGCCACGTCTGCCAGTATTGATAATTAGCCCCTTGTGCTGGTTCATAAGCAAAGTGGGTTCATTGTACAATCCTTTCTACCTTTGTAAAAGGCTTGAACGTTTCCTTAATAAAGGGGGCTGAAGGGGCCACAGGAATGGCACAGTGGTTAGGAGTACTTACTACTCTTGCAGAGGACCCAAGTTTGGTTCCCAGCAATCACATCAGGTGAGTTACAAGCACCGGTAACTCCAACCCCAGCGAAACTGATTTTAGAAAGATAGAGGAGCTGGCATGGTCATGCACATCTGTAACCCCAGAACTTGAAACGGTGAGGTAGAAGAACCCTGATCAAGGTCAGCCTCAGCTATATAACAAGACCCTGTGTAGAACATAAATAAATTAACAAGTGGATTTTTAAGTCTTAAGAAGACAGAATAAGTGGCACAAGAATGGTCATATTGTGGTCAGCTGATTTCCAACTATAGCTCCAAGCTTACTCAATGAGGAAGACATAGTCTCATCAAGAAATGAATACCCACATGCTAAAGAGCAAGACTGGGCCCCTACCTCACACCACTTAGGGAAAAAAATCACTCAATATTCATTAAAGATTGTTTGGAGAAGTTTCCCTACCTCACACCACTTAGGGAAAAAAATCACTCAATATTCATTAAAGACCTAAATGTAAGAGCTAAAGCTTCAAAGTTTTAGAAACATAAGGATTACAGCAAACAAAAATAAAATAAGCCGTCATGGTCTTAAATGTGGCAATATTCTTAGTTTCGGCATTAAAAGCAGAAGTAAAAAATAAATAAAAATAGAGGATAAATTTGATTTCACCAGAAAGAAAACTTTTGTCTCAAAGTACCCTAGTAAGAAAATAAAAGGAAGTGCTAGAGAGATATTTCAGTGGTTAAGGGCATTTGTTGCTCTTGCAGAGGACCTGGGATTGGTTTCCAATAACACATGGTAGCTTACAACCATTGGTAGGCATGCATGTGGTGCTCATAAATAACTACAGACAAAACATTCATCCACACAAAATATAAAATAAAACATTTCTTTAATTTAAAAAGAAAGTAAAAGGATAATACACAGAATGGCAGTAAGCTCTGACAAGGTATAACACATATGGGTCTAGAAACTACTACAACTTAACAACAAAACAAGTAGGAAGGGGGAAGCTGCAGGAGTGATGAGATCAGAGGAAAATCTTCAGGCTGGATGGAAAGATACCTAAAGGAGCAGGGATGGGGCAACAGGAAGGTTTGGATGGGTAGATGGGTGGTGAGCAGTGGCTATGAGCTGGAGCACGACAGATACCCGTGGGATGGGATGAGGGTGTGAAATATCATTCAGAAGGTTCACCTTCCCAGGAAGGTCTGTGAGATGCTGGCCTCAGCCTATGTCCAGGCACATTCCTAGTCAGGGGAATTCTCCAAGAATCCAGGTTGGGTAAGCTGTAGCTGGAGGCCAGCACGTAAAGCCATCTCACTGGGTCTGCAAAGGACTTTCAACTCAGACAGGAAACTTCCAAGCCACACCCAGGCCTGGCCCTAGAGAACAGGCCAGGGATGCTTCCTGATACCCTCAGAAAGCCACACACACATACACCATCCACTGGACCACCCTCCAGGTCAAATAAAGTGAAGGGCAGGAGTTACTCCCACATCCTAGAAGAGCCCAAGACCCTGCACCACAAGCTTGACTAACCTCATAGCCAAATGAATCTCAGGGCAGGAAGAAAACTAGAAAGTTTGTATAGGGGGCAACATGTAGGAACACAGAGGCCACAGCAGAAGGCCACTATGAACAAACTTTACTTTCCTACTTCATACAGCAGTAACTGCAACAAGGACTACAATCTGAGTGTGGCATGGGCCTGTCTAGACTAGTCTCAAACCACTACCTGGAGATCACTGCAGCCTGAGATATGTTCCTAGATGTCTCTACTGAAATGTGAGAAACAGTCCTACAATGCAAGTTCTTGCAAAAAGGACCAAGAGTTGGTAAATGATGCTTTATGCCCCTACAGCAGTGGGAGCAAGAAGCAATTTGCTAGCATCCACAACCAGTCTCCTCAAGTCTTTCCAAACAACTGCTTTGAGTTTTGTCTTGCACCTTGGACTCTGCCTGTGTTTCCTGCAAAGCGTTAGCATCACTGCAGCTGGCTGCTCTGTTTTACAAAATGCTGTGTACCCTTCTCTAAAGGATCGGACCAACTTCACACAAATGTCCCTTGTGGCCAACTACATCTCCTTTCCATATTTTAGAAGCAGATAAGGGACATCTCTTCATTGAAGACTGGTTGGGGAAACCCTCCACAATGAACTCTTGGTATCCCAGAACAGGGTCTTTTGGTAGCCAGAGCTGATACATCGGGCCATCGGCAGCAGTCATGTGAGTGCTTTTCATAGGAAAGCCCTATGCTGACATCAGGACCTGCCCTCTGTGGCCTGTGGACCTTCTACCCACTAAGACACGAGCTGACCAAATTTCTCAGGCAGTAGTAACAGCTGCTCATTTTATATAACAGATAAGTAGAATGTAGAAATAAAAAGCAGTCCCCTGTGTGCAAGGTAGCAATATTTCAGTCTTCTTTCTAGTCTTGCATTCATGATAACCCTGAGACCATGCTCAGCTACTGGGAAGGCGGGGCGGAAAGGACATACTTGTTTTGAACACAAACACCGCCTATCCTGCCAAGGCACAGGCAAATTGTCTATTCCCATACCTTCTTCCGTAAGACGTTCGGTAACATACATCTCATCGGGATGCTTTATTAAGCTGAACATGGAGCCCAGTCTGGAATAATCAGCACCTACCCCATGATAAAGACAGCCAATGCATACTGACGCAGGGTCTCATACCAAGGCAGGCTACCTCCCCATGATCGGCAAAAGTAAACCAGCCTCTTTGGCCTAAAGTGTCTCCTACTATGAGTCCACTGACCAGACCAGGAGAAGTCCAATTACACTGTCCAGTACCCTACACTCTGGGGTATAACTCCCAAGGTGCACACACAAGATTCTCCCAGAGTCGAACCTTTGCATTTAGCTGGACACAGTCCTAAGGAGTCAAGCTACACCTCCTATCCTAGGCAAGGGGCAGCCACATCTAGAAAGATCTCATGAACCCAACCCCTGAAAACAGCTGCAAAATAGAGCCTTTGTAGAGGGACCCATGTGGCAGAACTGTGCAAAGTCTGGGCCACCTCCAAGAGACTCCCTGAGGCATGGGGAGGGGGGCGCTAGTCCTCTCCAATGGAGGAAGAGCTTTGCAACTGGGATTACAACAACAACACAGGAGCTGAGGATTTCAGGGTTTGTGCCACTCGGATTTCCAGCAACACCAGGGCTCCTGTCCTTTTCTGAAAGAAGCCACACTCTGGAAATTTTCTTCCACCCAAGATTAGAGGGGACAAATATTTCTGGAGCCACTAACTGGTGAATTCCTGGAATGGTGGAATTCCCTCCAAAGTGTGAGTCCCAGGTTACTGCCCTCTGATCTCTATGAAGGAGTTGGCTGTGCCACTTCCACTGGCTGTACTTGTGGTCCCCCAATCCTGGGGATGGCTGAGGCGGACTGTGGGACTCCCCTTGCCAGCATCTGCAAAAAACCTTCTAAAAGATATTGGGTCCAGCTGTGGTCCCCCACCCCTGGGGATGGCTGAGGCGGACTGTGGGGCTCCCCTTGCCAGCATCTGCAAAAAACCTTCTAAAAGATATTGGGTCCAGGGCAAAGAGCGCCCTAATGCGGGACAGGTATATGCTCATTTGCATTGCAAGAGTGAAGGGGGTTGGAGACAGAATACCCGAGTTGGGGAAATTGAGATCCTCAAACCGTGGGACCCTCGAAGATTCGGGTGTCAAACGAGACGCCCCTGGAGTTTCCACAACTTCCAGCAATTCTGGATCCTCCAGACGCAACAATGAGTGGGAGAAGGGGCCCCGGACCAAGCAGGAAAATCTCAGCGTGGCTACTGCAGAGGCAAAGACCAGACATCCCTTGAATCCCAGGAGTACTTACCCGGGGCAGGCGGGGCGCGGAATATCGGGCGCGCCCGCTGGGGGAGCCGCAGAGGCCAGGAGCTGTCAGCTCTCTCATCTCCGGGACCTGGCCCCAGGACTAAAGAAGGAAAGCCCCACCCCGGCACGCGAGCCGCCCTGCCCCGCCCGGAGCGGCAGGAGCAAGGGAAAAGCGGCAGGGGGCGCACGCACATCCTCGTTCCCGTCTGCCCCGCGCCCTTTGAATATCTGGAGTCCCCAGATCTGAGTGCCTGGACAGGGTGGCACCAAGTGTCCTTTGAGTCCCCGCAATCCTCCGAGATCTTCGTACCTATATGTGATCTTACCCTGGGCCTCTCGGATTCCCAGAGCAAGCCTCCAGTTTGTGTACCAAATCTCGCCTAGGCCTGAGGAGGTCCAGGTAGTCTCCTCCGTTTTGCAGAGTTATGGGTTGGGGCTCTTTGGCCCCAGGGGCCAGAGGGTGAGATAAGAATAAGTAACTTGGAAAAAAAAAACGAAAAAAAAAGAAGAAGAAGAAGAAGAAGAAAAAGTAACCTGGATTTAGCTTGACTCACCTCTCCTGCTCTATGGAGTTGTTTGGAGAATCAAAAATATTAATTGCTTTCTGACACAGAACTTACCTAATAAGACATATTAGTCACATTGGACTCCTTTGGGGAACATTCTCATCTGGAGCTTTTCAGGATACCACATGGTAGATAGGTTCAGCCCTTAACATACCTGTTCTACTGTCCCACCTGGTCTAGGTATCAGGACTCCTGCTAACAAGCACAAGGTACCTTTCATGGAATTCCTGAAGTTCTCCATGTGGGCAATGTGCCCTCCATGTTCCAGTCCTCATCCCATCTTCCACTTAAGTAACCAGTCCTGATTTTTGACTCGGCCCATGTTTCCAGCTCCTGGGGCACACCTTAATGTCACTGTCCATTGACTAAAGTTCCCCAGTTGCCCTTGCTTGCTCCCTACTCTGCACCTGCTGTTTGGTCAGAAGGCATTCCTTTCCCTAGAATCTCATAAGGGACTAGTCCTGGGATCCCAGAGGAGAAAGGTACCTTGACTTTTCCACACACAGCTCTAAAGCTGAACAACTGGCATCTTCTAGTTTGTGAGTTCCACCAGCAAATCTGGGGACATGGGGTAGGCTCTATTCTGTAATCATCGCTGCCTGACACAACACAGGTTTAGGAATAGTGACTGGGTAAATGTATTTATATTTGGGTTTGGCATCAAACAATGGGCAGCTACACTACCATGTTTTTTTTTAATTATTGATTATATAGATCTTTTTGTAATGTAAACTATGCATAGAAAAAATTTGATTTGCTACAACTGAGGTATTTTTGGTAATCTGGATAAAACAGAACTGCATGGATAATGAAGTTGTGGTGGCATCTGAGAAGCAGAGGGGAGAGGTTCTGCTGCGCACAGCCTGGTGATGGGGAAACTGGCATCCATAAGTACGCTAAGAATTTGAGCTTTGCTGTCCCTTTCAGGACCTTTGGACCTTTCTAGAAAGAGCTTCACTCCTCTTTCATGGGAAGACAACCTTTACATCTCAAGACAAATACAAGTCCCACCACACTAACCTTGTCCCCTCAGAACCAACAGAAAGGGGACACTTCACTATTCCCTGGACTGGCACGGTAATTGAGGATTGCTCTACCCAGGTACAGCCGAACACTTGGTCTTTGATACCTTCAGAGTATAGGTCATTGAGCTCAGATTTTCCTCATATTGTTCTCACTGTCTCAAGTCTCCATAGAGATGACCCTTCAAAAGGAAGTACTACCTTTAAAGCCAAGGTCACAGAAGACAGAGCACCGATTTGGAGCCGAAACTCTTAGGGTGTTCCACACCAAGATGACTCTGGTCTCCTCAGCAGTGTTTCCTGGACACAGGAACTAGTCTGAACTTGCAAGTTCCATTCATCTGACTGTCCAGGGTCCCTGCATCCTAGAAGATATGACCACCTGCACCTTACCACAATGGCCCAAATCAAATGGACGCCCTCGCCTCCAACCGCAGCTTCTTCTTTCTGCCTTACAAAAAAGACACATTGGGAGCCTTCTGCTCCAGAACTCTTCCCTGTCCTCTTTCCAGTCAGGACCCCCAACTGGAATCAGAGATGCCATGCTACGAACTATTCCCCACTCAAATTTCTACCTTGGGTTCTAGTCCCTTTTGTTGAACCACTTCCTGTCCCCCAACTCTGTATGTGAGAGTTTGAGTACTGCTGAGGGCTTGGGACTATAAAGAACCCCAGGTACCACAGCCAGCTCTAGGAACTCTGCTCTGGATGTGGCAGTTTCAGAGAGTTGCTGCCACACTACCCAGAGGTTAGCCACTGGATGGTACCCAAGGCCAAACCCAGCTCCTGGACCTGACAGGCATTTGGAAGTGCAGAAGAACAAAACTGCTTTCTCTACAGCTGAGCTTCAGTGGCAATTGATTTCAACTGCCCCTGGCCTTTCCCATCCACACACTTCTAAACTGGGACAGACAGGACTGTGCTCTACCCTCTTTGGTGGTTTGAACAAAAATGCCTTCCTTAGCCCCAGGCAGTAGGACAAACCTGGTATGAGCTAGCTTGTTGGAGCCCATTCCCTATGGTGGGATGCCATGCTCAGCTTAATACATGGGAGAGGGGCTGGGCCCTGCCTCAACCTATTGTATCAGACTATGTTGACTCCTCATGAGAGCCCTTACCTGTGAGGAGGAGTGGACTGGGGGTGGTCTGAGGAGGAGACAAGGGGGTGGGAGGAGGGATGGGGAGAGGTGTGGAAGGGAGAATGGTAGTTGGAATGTAAAATGAAATTTAAAAGAATAAATAATTTTTTAAAAAAGAAAATGGCCCCATAGAGTGGCTAACCAATGACTGGGCCAGCCTGGAATTCATGCTATAAGACTGAGCCCACCCCAGATACTGCCAGGATCAATAGGTTGGGTGACCCAGAGACCAAGGATAGAGTGAAACACAACCGTTTAAGAAAAAAGGTCAACACAATGGAGCAAAATCATATTCGGCTATACTCATAGATCAGTGGCTACCCCAGTTGTCATCAGAAAGCCTTCATCTAGTAACTGATGGAAACAGATGCAGAGACCCACAGTCAAAGATTAAGCTGAGCTTTGGTAATCCTGCTGAAGAGGGGGAGGAAGGATTGTAGGAGCCAGAGGAGTCAAGGACACCATAAGAAAACCCACAGAAACAACTAACCTGGGCTCATAAGAGCTCACAGAGTCTGAACTGACAATCAGGGAGACTGCATGGGACCATCGTAGGCCCTCTCCATATATGTGACAGTTGTGTAGCTTTTTCTACTTGTGGGAGCCCTTACAGTGGAAGCAGAGGATGTCCCTAATTCTTTGGCCCGCTTTTGGGAACCTCATGCTGGATTACCTTGCCCAGCCTTAATACATTGGGAGGTGCTTAATCCTATGGCAACTTGATATGCCTATGCCTTGGTACCTATGGGAGGCCTACCCCTTTCTGAACAGAAGCAGAAGAGGAGTGGATGGGGGTTAGAAGGAATGGGAGGAGAGAAGGGAGGGGAAACTGTGGTCAGGATGTAAAATAGATAAATTAATTTAATTTAAAAAGAAAAGAAAATGGCTCCATAGACTCCTATATTTGAATGCTTGGTCTGCAACTGGCAGAACTTTTTGGGAAGGATTAGGAGTTGTGGCCTTGTCAGAGGTGTGTCACTTGGGTGTGGGCTTTGAGGTTTCAAAAACCCATACCATTACCAATTAGCTTTCTCTCTCTGCCTACACCTTCTGCAAGATGTAAACCCTCAGCTACTGCTCCAGTGCTATGCCTGCCTGCTGCCGTGCTCTCTGCAATGATCATGGACTCACCTTCTGAAAACTGTAGGCAAACCCCCAGTTAAATGCTTTTATTTATAAGTCATTTTGGACAAGGTGTTTTTTCACAGTCATAGAAAATTAATAAGATACTTCTGAAGCCAGGTCAGGGTGCTGCACAGGGTCCTGCACAGGCATAGACAGCTCTCTTCACAGTATCAAGTTTCTCCATTATGACTGTCATCTCCAACCGTTTTTCTGAAGGACAGCAAAGGAGCCGAGTATCACATGGAAAGCCTCCTCCTATCCAGTGGTTGTGAAGTCTGTCCCTCCCGACCGACCAACCCACCTACATCGCAAACTGCCTCCACCTAGGTGTGCATTGGGGAGAGCTACGAGGCTTCCTACTCCATGGACACACTTCCTGCTCTGGCAGCTCTCTGGGACTCTGCAACTGCAACCTGGAAGATATAAGGACTACCCAGAGAAGGTTGCAGGAAGTATCTGAGAGTCAAAGCAGTACAAGAGGCTCCTCTGGCTAGGACACTGCCTGCTGCCATGCTCTCTATGTAAAATGTAGTGAAATTCTTAGGACCTTGGCTGTGGCTGCTTGGCAGTGTGCATAACCTAAACTCGATGTACAAGTTCACCTCTCCTAGTCCTTTTCGTTTCTCTTTCATACACACCAACATCTCAATGAACATTATCTCCGTGACATTTTTCAATTTCCTATATTTGAGTCCAGCAGGAACAAAAACTACTAGAAAGCTTGAGGTATGAGATGCTCACAGGAAGTAAGAGGAGCCCTTCACTCCACCTTCTGGAAGGGGCCAGATGAATCAGAAATACACCCTATCTCTACTCCCCCAAACCTCTGCAGACCTTAATTACATCTGGGGTACTCTAGCTGTGCAGCTGATTCTGGCAACCCTAGCCACAGTCTTGACGTTGCCTTAATCTAAAGATTGATTCCTGTGAGCTGAAACCGAGCAGTGGGCTGCAGCCCTGTGTTATAACATACTAGTGTTATAACCCTGCTGAGGAAGGAGGACGCCACACCTGATAGATGACAGATTCCAGATGGGAGACAGGCACTGTTCAGTAGTTTTCTGGTATGTCAAACACCGCTTTACTCCAGCATGGCTTGACTCCACCATGACCTCTGATATCCTTTTCTAGCGTGCTTTTGGCATGGCTCCCACTCTGGCCACTGGCATTGGCTGGCTTTTGGAGCCTCTATTTTCCTCTTGTTTTCTTGGGATGCTGTTTCTATGACTGAAAGCTTCCTCTTCACAAACCTTTTCTGTCTTTTTTGATTTCTGTGTAAAAGTTCCCCTTTCAGGAGCCTTATTGGATTTATGCTTTGCCCCAGGACAGAATCTTGTGCACTTTAGC